TTATGGTTTAGTATCGAATACAAGGTGATTGATTCAGTTAGTAGGTATCAAATGGTCCGTACTTTAAATTTTAGTCAGCATATAATAAAGCTCGATCCTTATTCAAACTTGTTGAATCCTGTACAGCACGGATCTTTAATCTGTTTTCATTTTTGACGACTAAAAAGAATATCATAGTTTATTCAGTCAGTCAGTAAGTAACAACGTAGAACTTCGTACGTACGTACATCATTTCGAGTTGCCACACCACATTAGCACAGAGATGCAGTGGTCGATTCAAATCCCGTAGTGGTAGGGGCGGTAAGAATATAAGCAGTAATCGGAAAGATTAGGGTTTGAAGATGTTATTTAAAGAGTAGAATCCAGTGAAATAAATTTGGAAAGAGAAAAAAAGAGACAAGGATCCAGGAGATCAGAATTTGGGAGAACACAAAGAGTGGATATACCTGCACACACCATTGCAAACGATTTTGAGCCATGTCATTCAGGGTCTCTGACCATCGGTTGCTATGATCTCGCGGTCCCCAACCAAGTAGTCCACATCTACCAACATGGCTCAGTCCACTTGTCAGTGACTTCAAGGACTTGTGCCATGTTTTATTCTGGTCGCTCCTAGCTTTCATCCAATCTACTCCTATACAAAAAAACATCGCACATCGAGGCAGTCGGTGGTTGGGCATACGTAACACGTGTCCCAGCCATCTCAACTGATGAAGTTTCACTACTTCATCAATTGATTTACCATCCTTACCTAGTACCCGTGTCCTAACAACTGCGTTACTTATTCGATGGTCCCAGGATATACGAGCAATGTTTCAAAGACACCTGTGATCACATACTAGTAACCTACGAATATCCTCTACTCTTACCGGCCATGTTTCACTGCCATAAAGTAGGACGGACCGAACTGCTGATCATAGTTTATTAATGAATAAAGGATATTTCATGATGCAAATCAATAACAGAGTCGTATGATTTTGTAAATTATACTTCAAAAAATGTAAATTTGAGTGATCAATAAGGTTGTCTTTTTAAAAATGTTGAAATTGGTTAATAACTGTCTGAATTAAACAATAATCATTGGTTGTTTCGTGACCTTTATGAACAGCAAAATATTCAACAACAACAACAATTAACAGGTCAATAATGAGTTACAATTAGAACACCGGTAGTCAATATTTTTTAAAAAAACTACTTAATTCACGAAATATTCTGTAATAATTATCAGTATACGGTTGGGGAGATTGTTGAATTTAGATTGATATCATGAATGGAACAATGTTAGATCACCATTGAAGACTTGGAAGCACTGGACGGTCGTTTTGTCCTAGTATGGGGTGGTCTAACATTGTTCCATTCATGATATAAATCTAAAGTCAACAATCTCCCCAATCCTATACTGATCATTATCATGTGATCACTAGTGACTGGTTTCAAGATGTATTTCTTGGAGTTATAGTGAGAAGCCGTGACCAGTGGAGATCAACCGGGTCTGTTGTGAGGCAGTTACTCACTGAATACGATGGTGGACAGTCGTGCAATATCGTGGATTGGTTGAACTTAGATATTAACACCGTTGGATGTCGGCTCAGTGATTTAAAGATTAAGCGTCCACATTCGAGACCGAAGGTCCTGGGGTTAAAGTCCCTTTGGTGCGAGATCACGGATGCCCACTGCTGAGGAGTCCAATACAGGGATGAAATGGCTGTCCGGTTTTTAATGATGGTCTAACATTGTTCCACTCAATATATCAATTTTATAATAACATGACACAAAACTGATATTACCATTTTGTTATGCTACTTTATGAAGGAACAAAGACTGAAATTGTTAAAATCAAAGAAACTAAGACCAGTGATAAAGATTTATTTATACATCAGTCACAAATCCACGAAACCAAACTAAAGATTACAGCGTGACTTATGTCATTTTAAATAATCGATCAATAAATAAACTTAAATACATCGAACCGATAGTGGTTAATAATAAGTAATTTAATGTAAGCTCAAAACAACTGTCAACCAATATCAAAGCCAAAATCCTCAATACGAACATCAGCAAGGATGCACACACTCTGTCTGGATAGGACATATGTCGTGGAAATCATCAAGCTGCATCACGAGGCGAACGCTCGCTTTGAATCCTAAGGGAAACGAAAAAGAGGAAGGCCACGGGACACACTGCACCGAGAAATGGAAGCAGACATGAAAAGGATGAATAGCAACTAGAGACAACTTGGAAGGATCGTCCAGAACACAGTTCGATTGAGAATACTAGTGGTCAGCTTATGTTCCTCCACGAAAGGTAACAGGCGTAAGTAAGTAATAACTTAGTGTATATAATTTACAATATCAATAAATTGACTACTCTAAATGAGAAATATGATTAAATAATGAAATTGCATGTTTTTCCTTTTTAACACTTTCATAAATGATACGTTATTTACGATACCATTGTGAAAATTTGCACACATTCATATCCCGTGTTTTTCGAATAGTTGCATTCCGACAGATATATTCTATACTACTTATGTTCTATTAATCCTCGCCACAAAAATTGCTTAACTAAGCACTCGTTTTTGGCTAAATATGAAATTTAATTTATATCTTGTCAGAAATGTTAAAAAGTTGAACAAAGTGCTGATTATGTCTGTGATGATACGTGTTTTTAGTTAGATCACCAATTTTTCCTTTTTCTTCCAATTACACTAATTATTCGAAACAATTGTAAATAATTTGGTACGGTAGGATCTCACTATTCTATTATCAGTTTCTTTTAAACTCTGTAACAGGGTGATGTGCATTAGTCCAATAGAACATTGACATGTAAGAAGATTGTGAGGAAAGATGGACAAGTGTGAAACTGCTATCGTGCATCTTGAACGTACTGCTTCAACATCACCACATGCTAAATTTGTCAATCAGAATACCCTATCATAATTTTGGAACCCTGCATTTGCTAATTCGTTTATGGCTTTGAGCAATGATAATTTCTAACCAATACAATTGATATTGAGCTAACGTAAGCTACAACCCTATTGATCGCCTATCCGAAAACTTTTTTCCAATTTCCGACCTTGAGTTCATAAAGAAGTTTGCGGCTAAGCTTCGATGATCATTATCATATATATTTCAATCAACCAGCCAGGAAATTCTAAAACACCCAACATCTTATAGACGGGAATTACCAGAATACACAGCATCCCAAATAAGAAATCATACTTTGAAGACAATAATGCCACAAGTGGCAGAGACCAAGACAAACAGTACATAATTAATTAAGAATAATTAAGAAATAGTAAAACATGTGACGATAGTCATTTGTATATGACGATTGACATTCCGGTTTCATTACACGTGGACAGTGACGACAAGTTGAAACTGTAGTGACTCACATTTATCACGAGAACACGACTGGTTTAATAAAAACAATTATTATTATAACCAACTGTACCAGTGTTTGTTTTAACGTGCTTTTGTTTGACTGTGCTAATGACAGCTATTTTGTTCTTCCATTCTCTTATACTTACACTTCAATTGTAACTTCGCGCGAATTCGGTTACCTTCTGTAACCAAGCTTGTATCCTGGCACGATCTCGGTATCCTTTCGATGCCACGAGATCGCCAGCAAATAAACATCGACTTGGTCCATTAATTGCCTTCTGATATTTGGCTTCTCGGGGATTTTATGGAGTCATTTGGAACGAGCTTCTTACACCTGATCTAATTGGCACGTGTTTCTTGGTAGCGGTGTTCATAGTTAATCTCAACTCGACGCCACGCTACAATTGGTAATCCCAATTCGAATACAAAACTTTATCTATACTATACGTCCAGCCGAAGAAAATTAATTCATTAACCCACCCGCTAGGTACTTGAGTATGAGGCACACTCTAAATATGAGGGCTAGTGATACTAGCCAGTTATCCAAACCGAAGTACGTGTAATTGTATTTGAACCTGGAAATTAGTGGTAATAAGTTGAACGAATTAACCATCAAACCATTGACCGAAAGGTCAACACAGCGACCAAATTTATTCAATCACTCATCGCGATATTCAAATTATATTTCCATACCAATATTAGTTGGTGTCACTTGGTAAACAGGGAAAAATTAATACATAATAGTTGTTTCATTCTACAGTGTGCAGCAACACAGAAGCTGTGAAAATCAATAATAATAACTATTATAGTACATCAGTATATTTTATTGCAAACGAAAATAAGGCAACACATTTACTGATAGTAAAGAAAAGAGCGAATGTAAATGACGATCCTTCCTTCAGACTGTCTTATGGAAAAATCACTCCATATATATATATATATATATATATATATATATATAATAACTCGGGTATATGCATAGAATCTCAAAAATGGAAAACTATTGGTGATGTCCTATTACAATAAACAAAATACAAATAGACAACTTAAATAAAAACAAACACATCTGAAAATCTTCGTTGTCTATACTTATGCATTTAAGATTTATACGTAGAATTAAGAGGAACAAATGGGGATTCAGCACACGCACATCAGGGAATGATATGCGGGTAAAAAAATTGGAAATTCATAAACACAATTCAGCTAAACACACACAAATTTCAATAATAGAAGTAAAATCTTATGTTATGACACCGTAAATCGACACGAACAATTATACATGTAAAGTAAATGTGTGCTCGTTAGACAACAGTTTATATAATTAAAAACCGAACAAATAAATAAAATCGTAGGTAGAACAAAATGTATACAAGAAAGTATATGACAATGACAAGAAGCAGAAGTTTCTGTGGGAAAATGCTAAGAGTAAAAACGGCAATATATATAAAGCATACCAACACAAAGAGATTTACATTCATCAACACACCAATGAACATCTATCGTGACATGAAACGAAAACAATTGAATAGAAAAGAAGTCTGAAAATGAAGTAACAATAGTAATAGATACAAACACACGCAGACATATTCATGTGGACAAAAACTGATTTATATAATGTTAAGAATCTGCAGACTTTTTAACTATATTAATACACCACTTCCAGGTGATATATTCCGCTTTATCATCATCGATAAATTGACTCACAATTTTGTATAAGCCACGTGATAAAACACCTTTAGGGGCCTCTTCAGGGTCCGATGTCCAGATATGAGGGTGTCCTTGAGGACGAAAATTGCCTAGCATTACGGAAATTTCATCAACTACGAAATAAAATAATAGTTAAAAGTGAAATACGGGAATAACTGTTAATATTCCATTTTTGTCAGTAGATGCAAGCGTTCATATATATATATATATATATATATATATATATATATATTACTCAGATTATGGATTGACATCAATTAGATGAAAAATTAATAGAAGGTAGAGGGCACTGAATAGTTTTACTGTTTTCGTTTGGGGCTCCTCAGTAGTAGTGTGGATCCACGAACTTCAAGCCTCACAACCAGTAAGTTACCCTTAGACCAATAATTCAGAGTCGACTAGATCATAATTCTAACTCCAACCAATTCGCAAGGTTGCATGCCCACTATGCAATGTATTCGACGGTACGTTTCAATCCCGAAATTGTTTAATTACACCGAAACCTAAAATGGATCCCTGCCAGAATCGTGAGTGAACAGTCCTTAGTAATGAAAAATTAGAACGAAACAGATGTTCAGCTTTCCCTTCTTTTCAATAGTTTTCTATTTGAATTTAGTCTCAAATGCAAAATATTTCAAAACAGTGAAAGTCATCGAAAATCCATGTAATTGAAAGTTTGGTTTTATAGTATATATATATATATATATATATATATATATATATATATATATATACGATTTTCGTAATGTAGACCAAGGTTCGAATGTAAATTCACAGATAACAAGACCAGACTACGTTTAAACACCGTTGAGTGGAAATTTAACCGGTATAAAAATTAAATCGTTAAAGGTTCACGAAATTATGAAAAACATAGTCGATAGTATCGTGTTCACAACAATCCGTGAGTTTTATTTAGCTAAGGATTTGAATTTTGCATCGATTTATTTATTTTATTTAAACTTATGAACATTGATGCAAGGAGGCATCAGATATATATGCGCCACACAAACTACTTGATTTGTGTGAGGGCTGTGATACTGTCCGGGTGCCCAAACCGAGGCAAGTGGTTTTCCTAGGGAGCCACACCCCGAGCCTTTGACTCAGAGGTCTAATCCACAAGAAAGTGAGGCGACATTAAGAGATGCAGCCCCATGGTAGCCAGTGACCGGCAACAGCTTCGTACGCTATTTGTTCCCTCAGGATCATGGAGCCCATATGCACCATTGGTTTGGAATCAGCGTTTTCCAACTCTCATAGGTGGACCACGTGTCCACCAACTGGGTTAAAGCTCCGGATATTCGCCTTTCGTCCCCTCAGTTTAGTAAACAACACCCTCACCGCAAGAAGACAGGGGGTAGGACTTCCCTGACAGTGGCTGTATACGCGTGGTCATGTGAGAACATTTTGAGAGGGGGAGCTAACTTTCCCCACTCTCGATCGTACCAGAGCATTTAGGGGAACCTCGTATAAAAATTCGTCAAATGATACCAGCTTTTAGGAGCTATTCGGTCTCATTTTCAAACCAATTGACTTTTTAAACTATTAATCTGACTGAAACAAACAATGTAACTCATAAACGTTCCTCACTGACAAAGTATTTACAAAAGCAATCAGTTGGAATTGCAGGAAACTACCTACCTAGAATAGGGCCTTTACGTAACCACTGCTTGAAACGTAGCCCACAAACAATATCTCTTTGTACATAGTACACGACTTGAATACGGTAACTGCAGCCTTCGACGATTGAGACAGGTTTCGACTTAAAGTTAGAGATATCACCTGAAATTCAAACACGAATAACGTAGAAAACACTTATCCAAAAAATTTGACTGTATGTAAGATAACGAGAAAAACAGTAAATTAGTTTATTCTTTCACTTAAAAACTAACTTATAAAGAACAGAAAGTTTCCAACCGTTAATTCTAGACAGACAACTAGTAAATAAAGTCGAATATACCAAAGCATACCAATTAATTTACATTTTTACGCCCCAAATAGATATAGATGTAGAAGCTGAAATAAACAGCTACGCTTGGAGCCCTTCTAAGACTACTGTCGGTCGAAAACCAAGATAAAGAAGAGTCTGGCATGAGGTTAGCAAGCCCATCCCAAAAAAAGGAACTTATCCAAAAAACGCTGATACAGACGGATATCAATTAAAAAGTTACCATAATTTACATCAGAAAAATGTAAAGTACTGATAAAAATTAAATCTCGATAGTATCTAATTTCGAACTAATTTATATGACTTTCACTCTAGCATACTTTAACAATAATGGAATTATAGCATACTAACGTATAACTAGCAGGAAGTAAATGAATATATATATATATACATATATATATATATATATGTCAGTCGTTAGAATTTCCTCCGTAATATAAAAATGATGAGATGGAATTTAAATTACAGAATTTAAAAAAGGGCCATCAGTTAAATATTGGTGACTCATAGTGAGTTTTAGACACAGGTTAATAATCCTGGCATGATTCGACATTGGTCTAAATGAAGCTGATGATTTTCGTCATTTGGAATTAACTATTTCATGCTTTTAACCGATTTGTGAGATTGCATGACCATTACTTAACGTCATCGATGATGTCCTGATCTTGATATTAGCTGAATCCGGCCATTTCATATAATTCGATGTTAAAATTAACTTGAGGAATTGATCTAAATAATTCAAGTTCTTTCCTGTTCTAACTATTACCCTAACTGCCTTTGTATAGAAGCTACTAGAGAATGTAGTGCAACTTTCTGAATTTTAAGCTTAGTCATTTCTCAACTTCCTTCTGTAATGTCTTAAAACATCATTTTAAACATTTTGATTGATTGGCAAACCTGAACAAATCGAGCTTGTGATTAGTCACTGACCTAATGTATGTAAACAATTTGCAAAACCAACAAGCTGATTTGACTGAGAAATACTATCATCCATCACTAAATTATGCATTTGTCTTCTTATTAACACGATTCCTTGTGAATCATATTTGCTGTTTAGCTTGCTACTATCACTTATGCTATTATTCTTACTCTTACTTTCATCCCATTAATTTTTTTCCACTGAATCAGAGTTGTGACAATTTGTACTTACACATATGTTTGCTAGATCTTACGTAGTTTATGATCAACTGACAAATCTGGGACTTCATAAGGCAGATCTAATTGGGCAAATCTGGCTTTAAACTTGCATAATTGCAACGACCCTTGTGAAATAAATCGATCTTGAGACGCATAATGATTAACTAGACTAGTTCCAACTAAAATAATAAATCATTATGATTAAGAAGGGATGAAAGTTAGGTAACGTGTGCACTGTCGCAGTTTTTGGTGAAAGGCCATAATGTTTGAGATGCGCTTATCCTCCTCTGAATGTAAGTTGTCGCCCCAGAACTGACCTGCGTCAACACGAACTAAGGATAGGGAGTGAAGTAGTCGAACGTGTCTTGGAAGTCTGATCGACGCTAGTGAGTTGGAGTCTGACGAAATCTCTGCACGGATTCAAAAAGCTCGTTTGGCTTCTTCCAACTTACCTCACCTTTGGCGAAGGCGAGATATCCGTCTGTCAATTAAGGTACGAGTATACTGCGTGGTAGTTCGTTATGTTCTACTTTACGGCTACGAAACGTGACTGTTGAAAGATGATACTCATAAGTTACTAGTATTAGATCACAGATGTCTTGGAAATATTACTCGCATCTGCTGGGATCACTGGGTAAGTAATAGTGAGGTTAGATGCAGGGTATTAGAGAATGATGGTGAATCAGTTGATGAGGTTGTGAATCTTCATCAACCGAGATGGTCGGGCCACGTGTTAAGTATGCCTGAACACCGATTACCACGACGCGCAATGCTGACTGACTAGCGTTGGAGACGGCTGGAAGAAAGTTAGGGGCGGCCGAACCAAAATGTGGCATCAATGCTTGAAGTCACTAACTTCTGGTTTGAGCCATATTAGTAGATGCAGATTACTTGGTTGAAGTCTGCGTGATTATCGTAACAAATGGTTGGAGACTCTGGGTGACGTGGCCCATGATCGATCACAATGACGTAGGTGTATACACTCTCTGTCTCCCCTTAAAATGTGCGATTAAAATTGCTCCATATCTTTCTTTCTACGAACTAATTCTTTCTTCCTGTATAATATCCTAAAATTAAATCTTTCTTTTATGTATTGTTATTATTGAAGTGATCACTTCTATGAATTTGCTGTTCATCTTGTTGTGTTAATGAGGTGTGGCAACTTGGACCGATGCGTATGTGTGCTTGGTCCTACGTTGTAGCTGACTTACAGGCAGATATTTTATATTGTCTGAAGCACTTATCTTTCTCGACATATAAATCGGATGACAAAGATATTCCTGAGCACGTATCGTTGCTCACTATTCATTTGCTCATGGCACAAGAATTTTGATACATGGTAACAAAAACTGCACCACACAGTGGAACGATAACAATCTGAAACAATAGGCAAAGGAAAGTTTGTGTTGTCGATTAGCAGATGAAGAACAGTACTTCTAAGATTTTACAGATCAATGAAGCGAAAATCCTATTTAGTTTAAGTGGTTCCTCACTTTCCAACAAGAACACAACTGGTTTCTATTTCTACTTACCCGAAGGTATCTAAAGTTACCTATTTAAGGGAAGTTAGGAACGAGTGGGCACATTAAGCAACAGCTTGCTTAATATTACACCACAGCTTTGAAGCACAGTTTATGTTAATAAAGACATGAAATGGCTACATGTTTCTGATCATAGGTGTCTCTAAATTATTACTTGCATATCGTGGGATAACTGAGTGAGCAAAGCTCATGTGAAAGTCAGGATCCTATATGAAGATGGAAAATCGGTTGTTGAGGTTGCGAGTCTCCACCAACTGAGATGAATGAAACGCCAGCCACGCATATCTAACCCTGTTGCATAGACGTGCTGGTGGGAACGGTTTGGGGGCTAAGGGAGGTTAAACCAAGAGTTGATATTAGCACAAATAAAGGACTATCGGACTTAGTCGTATTGGTGGATATAGACTAACTGGTCGGGGTCTACGCGGTAACATCGACCAACGTCTGTAAGAATGGGGCAACATGATTAGGAATAGGTTACAATGATGTCCATCCCTTTATCTATTCTTAAGCATCTGACATTAGCACTATTTCATGCCTTTGTTCCCTTTAATTCGCCACTTATTTCTAGATAGTTTTCTTCGGTATTTTATCTTTTTTTATAGTTGATGGTACCGTCACTTACAATTTTTAGACACGTTTTGTTAATTTCATTGCACTGTGCTGGTGTAGTATGGCCATACGGGCCGACATGTCAGGATTTATTTTGAACATGACTCACTAAAAATCATCGAAAAAATTCCATTATCAGTTTGGGTCCAAAGTATAGTTCCCAATATTTTGATTGCCTAGCTGATGTCAAGATCTAAATGTTACTTTACAATACTCAATCGGGTATACTTAAGTAATACTTTAAGGAGTATAATGGAAAAAAACAAGCAGACATACCCAATAGATTGAACTCAATATTCGGTTGCCCATCAACGAGAATACAGAACTTCTCGAACACAACATTTGCAGGTTTTTCTGGAACTGTGCGGAAATTAGCTTATGAAGTTAAACATACAAGGAATCTTAAACGTGCCAACAGATGGACCCAATAGTGCTTCTTTGTATTTCCGCAAACTTTCGTCTTCCTTGTCTAGATTCATGATCTCTTCCAGAGTGCGTTTTTCGGGTGGTTTGTATTCAGTTTTAATATCGCTCTCCAAATCGCCTTCTTCAACAGACTGTTCTGCCATTCTTGAAAACACCACGAAAATAGTGTGACCTATAGCCTTCGGTAGATTCGCGTTTAGCTTGAAGGCACCTCGTGTTTTGTAGGAGTGTCAAGAGCAGTACGCGAGATTATCTGGATAAGAACAAGAGAAAAAGCAAGTCGATAACTCAGTAAGCACACAGAATGCACTTACATTCGAAAAATAAAGTATTTGACAATATTCAGAAGTAACAAGGGTGAGATTAAGACAACCTGACAACCAAAACAGGAAGCTGAGAATGTAAAGTTTCAAACGTGTTACAATAGCAAATTCTGAGCGCCTAACACTTCAAGGTGAGAAAACTCTGACGAATTCAAAGTATTGGTTAAATAACTCTGTTCTCCAGACAACTGAAGGCAAATATGGACTTTCGACCTGACCTTGAGTTTACAGATTAAGGCTTGAATTATTATTAGTGACCATGAATGGATGCAATGTTTGTACTCATAATAGGTTACTTTAATGCCCAAGTATGTAGCTTAAACCAGACGGAAAGGCATTTTGGTGGGTATTTTGGTATTCCGGCTCAGTGGACAAATATTAGTCACCGTTTGCTGCAACTGTGTCAGACAATCGTTTATTTTAGCAAGCACTGATTTTAAGCATAAGGAGAGACATCGTCTGACATGGAAACCCCCTGCGCCAAATCAACGATGGACCCAAATAGACCATATTGCCATCAGTTGTCGTTGGATAGTCTCGGTATAAAACTGTCTCGGTCTGGAATACATGTTTAGACTCTGACCATGACCTAATACTAGCACGCATTTGCTTACGTCTCACTGGACGAAGAAAACCACATTAAGAAGACCCATTAGAGTTTAACTCAACGATAAGAAAGTCAAAGGTAAATTCGAGGAACAAATGAAGTCACACTTAGGCGATTTCGAAAACGAGGCTGACCAAGGTGTTGCTTGGAAAGATATTCAAACGGCCGTAGAAACAACAGCAACATCTATTAGTTATTTAAATCAAAGGGTTACGAAAAATCAGTGGATTTCTGATAAGTTTTGAAGAAAGAGGCATATTGTTGAAAAACGCACTAAAACCTCGTGACTCGAATATCCGTATTCGACCAGATTGGCCGCTTGAGGATCGAATCAAGTGGAAGAATGCTCTTACGGAGTTGAGGACTCGCAAATTAAATGGCTAAAATAACCTTACCATTAAGGGTGCTCGGGTAGTCAGGTCTTGGAAGCCAATGCTTCCGAGGCCTGTATGGGTAGAACGATTGATTGCCAAAACACCTTAAGTGTGTGCTACACGAACGCTCGTAGTCTTAGAAATAAAACTTCCGAGCTAAGTCTGATGGTGCAAGAATTATGTCCCGATATAATCGTTGTTACAGAAACTTGGTTCACCGTAGATATAGACTGTTCTCCCATCATTGCAGGCCATATCTGTATTGGAAGTGATAGAGTTTCAAGTCGCAAAGGGGGAGGTATAATATTATACGTTAGGGATCACGTTCGTATACAATCAACCATATCGGAGGCTCATATCAGTGGCACATGTGAGGTTGTATGTTGTAAGATTAAATCTAGAAGTGGGTTAGTGACTATAGGGGGAATATACTGTAGTCCGTTTTGTCTTGCTGACGACTTTATCCTAAGACACATCTGTTCTTGGAGTATGGCAGAATGTTGTCTCATCATTGGGGACTTCAACGCACCGCATATCAACTGGATAGAGCTTACAGCTCCAGGTAGTGGTTTCGATAGCGACCTTTTATCTACCGTTATTCAGTGTGCACTTGTACAATGTATCACAAAACCGACACATATTGATTTGCAACATGATCCGTCACTGCTGGACCTCGCCTTCACCCACCACTGTGAGGATGTCTTTGATATCCAGCACCTTCCCCCACTAGTGAACAGTGATCACGTTGTAATTCACTTTAAGTTTAGGACACATGGTATACAATTTGTATCTGCTTCACCCCGTCCCAATATCTGGCGAGCCAATATTCCGGCAATCAGAAGCTGTGCTATCTCGACTGATTGGTCGGTCGACGCGGACGGGTTGATCGAAGATGAATGGAATAAGTTTAAGGCTATATTCAAGTCCGTAACGTCACCGTTTATCCCATGGTCAGCACGTAAGCTATCACATTGCCCTCCATGGATTAATAAGGAAACCCGGAAGCTGTTAAAGCGTAGGAAACATTTCTGGGACTTATTCTTGTTGACAGGTCATGCACCATTTAAGCGTGAGTACCAAAAATTTCGTAATATCTGTAACAAAACCATAGCCAAATCCCGTACCACTTACGAACGACAGTTATTATATGATAGCCGTACTTGTCCGAAACGATTGTTTTCGTATGTTAAATGGCGAATGAAACGTAGTGATGGTATTCCCCCGTTACTGTTACACGAAAATTCAGATTTACTAGCTGAATCAGATCGAGCAAAAGCTGAGACTCTACGTTTATTGTAACAAATACTTGTCCCACTCACACCGAGATACCAACCATTGAATCTGTACAGGTGACTGGGGAAACTGTCTTTCCGTTGATAACTAACCTCAAAGCTGGTAAGATACCGGGCCCTGACGGGTTACATCCACGGTTGCTGTCACCTCTTGCGGACATTATTTCAAGACCGCTCGCGACACTCTTCAACATGTCCCCTTCACTCGCTCAACTCCCAGGAGGTTGGAAGGACGCTATAGTCAGTCCTGGGTGATCTTATCCGCAACGCAACCATGTAAACCTAATGTATCGCACACTGTCATTTGTGCGTTCAAGTAACCACAGATTTTGTCATTTCATAATGTATTTTTAATTAAATATCTAGATTATGTAGTTAATTTTTCTCTGTTTTTAATTTTTATTCGCCAAGTCCGACTGCGTTACACTGTACGTCCATTGCACGCTGAGATGATATCTCAAGTCATAGTGAGTTTATTCACATAGTTGATTGTTTCCAGATAGACTGTCAGTGCATGATTTTACTGAAGAAAGGTTTGTTGTACTGTAAACTGTGTTTCTATGATCAACTCCCTGTTGTCTTCAGTATGAATTCATACTGAATACTGCTTTAAAGCAGTATATATATAGGTTAACCAAAAGTCTAAGGAATGACTATGAGTAGTGTTGGGCAACGAAAGCAAAAGAAATGGAAAAGGTAGTGGCTGTAGGTAACACTAAACAGCTTTTCAGGCTAATAAAAGAAACTGGAAGTAAAAAGTCAATTGTAAGTGAGACTATTTCGGAAAAAGACGACACTCTCACCTGACTGAGTCCAAACGCTTAGAACGATGCGCAGAACACTTTAAGGAGCTGTTCAGCTGGCCTTCAGCTACTCTGCATCTACCCACCATTCCCAGACAGCCTGAATGGGACAGTGAGATAGCCTCCGACTCTGAGTAAAGTTTAAGCAGCAATGGCTAATCTGAAACGTTGAAGAGCAGTTGGTCCAGATAGAATGGCTCCAGAGAACTTTAAGGGTGATGATTCAGTTTTAGCGAATAGGTTGACTAATTTGCCAGCTTAAACCTGGGAACTGGGTGTAATCCCATCTGGCTGGTCGCAATCACTGATTGTCCCAATATATAAGAAAGGTCCAAAATCATCCTGTAATAACCATAGAGGGATTAGTTTGGCTAACATAACATCTAAAATACTAGCCTCAATAATTGTCGGACGCCTAACTAAGCTTATGAACTGCAATCACGAGAAAATCAGTCTGTCTTCAGACCTGTTCGTGACTATATGGACCATATATTCACCATTCGTCAAGTTTTAAAACACTGGTATGCTTCTTAGCGTCCGACAATGATAGTTTCTCTTGACTTAAAAGCAGCATTTGACCCTGTAGATCGACAGGTTCTGTGGCAATGTCTATCATTGAAGAATTTATCTCAGAAGTACGCAAACCTTGCGAAGGGTCTTTACTCTAACAATAAATGTCGAACCAGAGCTTACGGCGAACTGATTTTCCAACCTCATGTGGTGTCCGTCAAGGCCGTCCACTATCTCCACCTTTGTTCAGCTTCATTATAGACCTATTGATGGAAATAACGTTCTCATCGACTGATTTTCCAGGAATTGGTCTCCTACCAGGAGATTCACCTATCGACTTAGAATACGCAGATGGCATAGTCCTGTTTGATGAAGACACTGACAAAATTTAGAGACTTTTGGAAGAACTAAGAAACAATGCCATAATGTTTGGGATGCGTTTATCCTCCTCTGAATGTAAGTTGTCACCCCAGAACTGACCTGCGTCAACACGAACTAAGGATAGGGAGTGAAGTAGTCGAACGTGTCTTGGAAGTCTGATCGACGCTAGTGAGTTGGAGTCTGACGAAATCTCTGCACGGATTCAAAAAGCTCGTTTGGCTTTTTCCAACTAACGTCACTTATGGCTGAGGCGACTGTCTAACCGACGCATTCTTTGTCTCATCCTGGTGCAAGAGCTACTACCAAACTAATCAATGACTGATAGACATGGCCAAATCTAAAAAAATGCAGAAAAGTGGGTTGCATAATGTTCGATGCGTTGACAATCAAAGGTTAACTGTCACAGACATTTTCCCAACCGCGTTTTTTTACAGCCAGATGCACGTTTTACTCATGTTCATCCTCATTCGGTAGATCCATTACTGCATTTTAATTGTTTTAATTATCTACTTACACGCATAGACAGATTCACGAGATGTCCAACAGCTGCATAGACAGTCGGAATCACAGTTGAACAAAAGTGCTGCCCCTGCACGTACTCGGACATTCTTACTCATGGGTGCTAGGTCACGCACTTGACCAATAAACCATACCGGCAAGTAGTAGGCCTGAATGCAATATTTTCTTACGTTAGTCGATTATTGGCAATACTCCTGAGCAATAGGACATGCAACTTTGTGAGGTGTAAACCAACCCGGTTCCTATGGGATTCTATGAGACACGGTCTTACATTAACACTCATATTAAGTAGGGCTCTAATTATGTAGCTGGCACGCATGAATATTGCTCTAGTCTGAACTCTATTTCTCACATTTTGTCGGAATACACTGTTTCTACTGGTTCTATGTTAGTCAGCTAAAGTTTTTGTATTGTAGGTTAGACATCCATTTAGTATATCATACGACTATGAAACTAAGGTTGGATTTATATTCAACGTTGTCACGTCAACTTAATGTGTCGCAGGCCAGAATAATGGTCAAGTTTACGTTCATGTAATCAATATATCATGTTGTGATGTGGCTTTTACTAAATAGATTACGCTGTGACTCTTGCTGTGGCTGTAATTTTTATTTACCACGTCAGAATGCGTCACATCAGACATGCATTGCACGCTGGGATGATATTGCAAGTCAAAGGAAGCCCAAGAAAATTCACTGTTTTTTTAAGTAGACCGTCAATAAATAATGTTGCTGGATAAAGGTTTATTGCGCTGAAAACTATGTTTTGATGCATAAATTACTATTGTTTTCAGTCCGTAAACAATATCGTTTGTCCTCTGCTAGGTAAGTTTAACTGGCCGGTAGTTCGTTTCTTTGTGTGTACAGGCTTAATTATCAATATTTAACTATTTTAAGTAACATGTCTGTGCAAGTAGAACAATAATTGCGACACCTGTTTAGTTTAGTATACTTGGTTATCTTGTAGCGTGGTATCGAGTTGAGGTTAACTATGAACACCGCTACCAAGAAACACGTGCCAAATAAATCAGAAGGCGAAGGTTGAACGTAACCAAATAAGTCCATAAAATCCCCGAGAAGACAAATATCAGAAGGCAGTTAATGGACCAAGTCGAGATATATTTGCTGGCGATCTCGTGGTATCGAAAGGATACCGAGATCGTGCCAGGATACAAACTTGGTTACAGAACGTAACCGAATTCGAGCGAAGTCACAACCAAAGTGTAAGAATAAGAATGGAAGCACAATATAGCTGTCATTAGCACAGTCAAACAAAAGCACATTAAAACAAACACTGGTACAGTTGGTTATAATAATAATTGTTTTTATTAAACCAGTCGTGTTCTCGTGATAAATGTGAGTTACTACAATCTCATGATTCAGTTTGATCTATGTAATCATAGTGCTTGAAGAAAGTAATGAAGCAGATCAGTTTTGTGAGTAAATGTGCTAAATCTTTCGTTCCCCATAGTGTGCTTAAGCATCATAACTAGAAAGCGATCACTGAGAGACTATGTATACATTACTGTGTAACTAGCTCCCCGAAGCTGATGTTGAGAGTTTAGAACTTGTACAGTACAGGAGGATATGATGTTGATATATCAAATTTATTATATTTCCACTAGTTCAAACATATCACTTATTCACTCCGTTTGTAATTTTCGCGTGAGACAGTAATAATATGAACGCATTATTATAACTTGGGCTTTACTTAAAACGATAGATAATTTATAGTGACTTCCATATCAGTCCTCTCTTAATGAGTATAATGCAAATCAGTCTGCTTATAAATAGAAGAAAGTACTTTGGATTCTGCTGTTGTCATACATTATTAAGTGGTGTTCATTTTGGAAAAAAAGTGATAAATATGCTTGATGTGTGTTTGTAAAGTGTACGTCTGGCGTCGACCATATTTCAAGATCACTGCTATTAAACGATTTCCCCTGCGTTAAAATCGACAGCTGGACAACCAAGTGTCTGTGTTTTCACTTTTCCGAAAAAAAGCAGTATACAGTCCTGGAAGAGCAGTATTGTACGTCTTAATTAAATGCAACTGGCTGTGAGCTGGTATTAAAAACCTTTGAACAATTTGAAGTTTTAGTTTGTCAGACACTAACTCTCGTTGGATATTTGCTCGTGAAAAGAGATGCATATGCATTAGAATACATAAATGGGAGTAAATGAATAAAAGCCATGCAATACGACACTGAACACATATTACGCTTTGCGCAGGTTATAAGAGCTGACCTAATCGTTAAATAATATTCATGAGCATGTCAGCAAACCACATTTATGTGAATTCCCTGATTAAAAACATATTATTTGTGTATTGAATTACTCCATATTGTTGACTAAAGCCAGTACTATTTGTTTATTTAGAATAGAACAGTTGTGAAACCTCACAGATTACCTTATAGACTGTTTCGCCATCAGAATTATGGTACTATGGAACAATCTACGGAGGGCACTACTAACAGAACCTTCTACAAAGTTTCTTAAAAGGAAGCTGAAAGCTCACTTTAGCTTTACAATCACTTCCACCATTTACTAGTTCTTTTGTCCTTTAGTCCAAAAAAGTAAAAGGACTACAGCTTAATATTATCAATGTTAAAGTTGTAAATGGAAACCTGGTGTAAATGTTGTTTGGTATTCCATTGTTATTGAAACTACTCCTGAATAAACTTGTTAGGCCGATCCTATTTTGATTTATCAAGGTAACATTCGTGAGAAATCCATGAGATGCAAACGTCTTAGCGCATAGTTCACATGTAAGGAGTAACTTTTGGGAGTAATACAGTACACATTCCTGCTATTTTCTTGAATAACGTAAAGACGCGGGTCCGTGTATAAATTACTAAAGGAAACATCGTTGCGCCCCTAGCCCCTAGCGTCACAGTAGTCAAAGTATAGACACGAGTAATGAGCGTTCTAGCCGTCCTCACCAATGGCCCTCCAACTTCCTTTTATGGGCAAAACAACAGACATACACCACATACTGGTAGCGGATTTCCGGCTTTCTAATGTTAAACTTGCTTTCACGTAAGACGTAATGCTTCCAACTCATCTAATAATGCTATGTGGTGTATTTTTAATAATAGACCTCCTGCGATAGACCAATGAAACCTCTGACTTGACTCCAAGATGTTAAGTGCGTGGGTCTCATAATTCTCCCGAGAACACTACTGGTATCCACTACTACTAGACGCTCAGTATTAGTTTGATTCGCTGATGGGATATAGTTATCCACAATACTGATGAAAATAACAAACCAGAGACCGTCTTCTTTCACTGCGCCTTATAACATCATAGATGAAAGTTACGAACGAAAATGAGTGCAGCTAGAGAATCCCAGACAGCAGCAACATCTTTTCTAGCTACAAAAAACCGTGATTTTCGATATCTACAAAATTATACTAAAAAAACGGATTAACATTTTGTCACATGAAAAAGCAAGGTTGCCCGAAGGGATGCATTGACTTGAGTGGCAGTAGCAAAAACCGAGAAATCAAAGCGGATTCGAAAAAAGGCTCCAACATATGGAGTATTACATAAACTGCGGAATCTTAGCAAACTAAAATATTGATGTATGCAGCCACACCAAAATAAAAGTGGAAAAGCACACACAACGAGGCAAGTGGACCATCATTGCTTTTAAAGATGGTGGAAACGATAATTCCCGCTTCGTTCTGATTAGTCTCTAAGTGCAATGCCAAAATTACGAAACGGAGTCAGATTTAACTCCAGCGTTACTTTGACCTTTAAGTGCTCAGTAAACTCCGTCGGTGAACAGCGCCACTCGATCGTTGCCTTATTTTGATGTGAGGTGCTCTCAAAAGGTGACATTATGAAGTCAGAAGAACTTATTCGCTTGAAAAGTCACTTTCTTAAGAATTCCCGTGTTAAGGATTTCTCTGGTTATGGGGGGAAAATACATACACTTGGGTGGAATAGCAGTGGGTCGAGATTAGCATCTGGATCATCTGACAAGCTTGTAAATATATACTCACTGGAGTCCACAAGATTAGTTAGTTTAGATTTTGCTCTATCGGTTGTTTTCAGACAAAAGTACATAGTTTCCGAGGACATAATGAAAGCGTAGACCAACTTTGTTGGCACCCATCAGATAATGATGTTGTTGCAACTGTGGGTGCAGATAGTGCTATTCGTTTGTGGGACTGTCGGACCAAAAAAGATCCAATCACAGCACAATGTAAAGGGGAGAACATTAATTTAGCATGGTCACCGGATGCACGTTACATCGCTGTTGGTAGCAAAACAGATTTGGTATGCTTATTTGACCTCCTTTTTTGCTCACACAGTTGTCTTTTTTCACTTTGTTATTTGTTAACCAATACATGCAATCAAATTAATGTTGTTTGTTAATGTACACAACTAAATTCGTTTTTACGACAAATATACTTCTAAACGCAATTATAAGATTTATTCGAAACCAAAAGCAACCTTAGAATTTTACTTTGTATCTTAATTGACCAGCCTTGAAAGTGGCAGCGAGTTTCTGGTTTATTTTGTAAGACCAAATAACTTCAATTTTGTTTTTAATCCATGTTCAGAAGTTAGGGGTTCCTTGGTTTATTGTAGCTTCAATATCTTCAAACCATTTCATCTCAATTTTACCTTTCAATGACTGTGAAAATGTTCCACTGTGAATACATAACAAGACTTACGTTTAACCTCGTAGTTAACGTTAAGCACGTTTTTAAGAGATCGGATCTAGCAGATGCCATGCCACATTAACATACGCCTGTTACCCCTCGTGGAGGAGAATACGCCGTCCACAAGCATTCTTAATCGAGATTTGTTTTGGACGATCCTTCCAAGTTGTTTCTAGTTGTTGTTCATCCTAATCATATCTGCTTCCATTTCTCGGTGCAGTGCGTCCTTTGGTCTTCCTCTTTTTCGTTTCCCTTAGGATGGAGTTTGATGATTTGTGCAATATATGTCCCATCCACTTCCAGCGTCTTTCCCTAATTTCCACTTCGGGTGGAAGCTGGTTTGTTTTCTCTCACAGTAGGTTGTTAATGATGGTATCCGACCAATGTATGTTGAGTAATCTTGCGTAGACAACTGTTTATAAATACTTGTACATTTTTGATAGTGGTTGTACTAGTTCTCTAAGTTTCAGTTACGTACAGTAGAACTGTCTTGATGTTCGTATTGAGGATTTTGGCTTTGATATTGGTTTACAGCTGTTTTGAGTTTCATGTGTTCTTCAACTGTAGGAATGCCACATTAACATAGCAAAATAAAATTGTTTCCAAATAAATCTCAGAGTAGTAGTAAAAAACGATTAGGTACGAGAAAATAAGGGATAGGGAAGTTTCGGGAGTCATGTTCTAGAGAAAGACAGAGTATGTGCATCCTCGCTTTTGCAAACGACTCAGCCATGTCACCCAAAGTATAACGATTGTTGTCTATTTGTTATTCATTTGGTAGGATTTTTATTTAGATACCTAATTTGCATGATTTAAGCATTTTGTTTACCAGCTAAATCTTATGTCCAAGATTTAAAAATATAACTATTTTTATTACCTCAGATCGCTAAAGTTCCGTTACCACGTTCATGGCTTTTGTCTTAAGTGCATAAATATGTTTGTTACCAGGTAGTTTTTACTCCAGTAATAATTTTCGCGTTTTATTCATACTGAAGAGTTGTTTGCAAATTTATCTGCTTACCACTGTTTTAGGTTTCATGGTTTGATTTGCGTGCTGGTTTCAAAGTGGTACAGGCGGAACAGTTCACTTCAGAAATTAATGAATTCGCCTGGAACCCTAGCGGGGAAGCGTTTCTTTTAACTACTGGTCTTGGAAGTATATTAGTCTACAGGTTGGTACTTAATTACAATTCTTTTCAAAACTAGCAACAAATTTGCCAATCACACTGATCACATTTTTGAGGGAACTCATTTGGAAGCTATTGTTGTATATTTATCAATGAGACAAAAAGAAAACAAACTGACAATGAGAAATTAGACTTAAGTTTTGCGACGAATAATTGCACTGATGGGTTATGGGGATTTGAACCGATGTATACATCTATCAGGCTCTACGTTGTAACTGGCTGACTTAATACCCTGTAGCAAAACTACCGTGATTAATATGATAAAACTATGAAGCCCACAAACTAAAGAACAACAGACTTGGGAAAACGAAGAGTCGCTTGTTTCCTATTGAGTGCGTAACAGTTGGTTCGTGCTACTTATCAGACTACAACACATACTTCTCAGCTTCTTGCACTCGGCATATTCCTCCATATATTTTCCTGTAAAAATCTTACAGTGTACTCGGATTACTTAAGAAATGTAGTTTTATCTGGTAAATAATCCATCCTAACTTCTTATGAAAGCTTCAACCCTAATTCTACGGATCCTTGGAACTTATTGTGCACTTACTAACCATAAAATAGACTGAAAATTGTTTATAATAGCGTATAGTTGGAAACTAGGTAGTGAAGTGGTAGTTGTGGTAGCATAGTAACTTTAATTATAGCAATTCAAAATATATGCCAACAGATCAGCATTTTTTGTGTATTATTAGACAAATATAATATCGTCTTCATATTTGCTGGTAAGGTATTCCTATTTAAGTAAATAATTAACTCTATAATACCCTGTTTTCAAAACTATCTTTTGACATATCGGCAATCTTACAAGAAATATACCATAGCTATCTGATATACTAACTATTTGAAATGATAGGTTTTATTATTTGTGCTCCATAGGATTTCCTTTTGTTTGTGTTTTAAGGTACTCATTAATAGTATGTAACTCCCTAAAATATGGTTGACGGACATCAGTTTTACTTAGGTAGTGTGTCTGTCGATTCCACGCAGTGCTAAACGGACAGGTTTGATCGAACAAAATAAACTTTTAAGTGTCTCCATTTCATGGTAACTGCATTTTATATACTGTGAAAGTTCTGATTACTAATGTCATAGCACAGATATGTTTTTACAAATAATTTGTGGATATATTTTATAATGGAAGTGACGAAGTAATACAACAGATTACAAATTATTAGTGGACCAGTTCTTTTAATTGACTAAACTAAAAAATAATAAGCTATGTTAAACAAGTCTTATAAAAAGCCTTGACCAAATGAAATCCTCTCTTTCCAGTATCTACCATTTTAAAAAATGTTACTTATTTTATTTGTATTCTCTCAGCATAATCACACTGATTGTCAATTATTATTCGTACAGCCTCCTAATTCAGTAATAGTCTGAGTAGTATAAACTGACTGATCAATCTGAGATTTCTTATAAATAAAAAGCCTTTTGATTCTGTGATTTTTTTTATCAAAGTGGGAAACCAGGTGACATGAAACGTGAAGCAAGTATCCAAGCTCACCCAGTCAATGCAATGTGTCTTCAATTTTCACCAACAGGTCATCAATTTGCTGTTGGTAGTGCAGATGCTCTGGTGTCCATTTGGGATGCAGATGAATTTGTTTGCCTACGTACATTATCTCGGTAAGTTTATCGAATTTTTCAGTAACTTTATTTTTTCAAAACTATATTTTTTAAATTAGATTTCATTTATTAAATATAGGTTCATGAAAATGACTTCCATTCATTTCCTAACTGTAAGGGCTAGTAGCAATACTATCTGTTTGCTCAAATTGAAACAAATAAAGGAAGTTTCGAATCTGTGACTTAGTGGCTGAAAGTTAAACTCCTTAGCCACTTAACTAACGTTCCATTCAAGCTATATACAATATTTCAACTGACCGTCCGTAATATTTTGATGATGTTCAATAGCCCCCAAATGTCCTGGTACGGCCGAGAATGTGGAGAGTCGGCTGTCCCTCGAAATGCTCTCACATGGCTACGCGTATACAGTCACTGCCTTCGCGGCAGGGGTGTTGTTTACGAAATCGAGAGGACAAAAAGCGAATGTTCGGTGCTTTAACCGGGCTGGTGTATATGAAGGATCCACCTAGGGGAGTTGGAAAATCCTGATTCCAAATCAGTGGTATACATTGGTCCAGGATCCTGAAGGAACAAATGACTTATGAATCAATTGTTGGTCACCGGCTGCCATGGGACTGCATCTCCCGACATTGCTCCACTGCCTTGTGGATCAAACCTTTAGGTCAAGGGCTCCATGTGTGGCCCTCTAAGAAAACCGCTTGCTTTGATCTGGGCACGCGGGCAGTATCACAACCCACACACAAATCAAGTGACTTGCGTGGCGCATATGTATTCGGTACCTCTTTGTACCAATATTTATGTGTTCAAATAAATAAATAAGATATACAATAGAGGATTGAATAAAAAAATAAGAACCCAAAGAGATCTTATTAAAGAATTAAAAATATAACTGTTGTTAAAAATGTCAAAGAAACAAAGTAGGGAATAAACATGTTGAAGAGCATAATAATTTTACAAACGAAGCTATTAAAAACTTTTCTACCACATCGATTTCGGATTAATATCAAGACTCATTGCTATTGTAACCGACAGGCGTTTCTAGTAGCCTAAGAAAAAAGCTCTTACACATAATCAGTTTGACGTATGCATCAATTTGTTTGCCAGGTTTATTTATTCAATGTACGTTTAGTCCTTCAAAGTTCAATAATACTCACTCATAATTATATAAAGTCATTAAACTGTTTATTCCTATAGTCTTAAATTTTGGTCATTTAAATCGTTTTTTATCTTTCATGTGTTTAGTTCACTTTAAACCGTTTTTTAGTCATTTTTATGTTGTTTCTGATTACATTCGATTTTCCTACTTATTTTATCATTTGATACAACTCATTTTAGTAACTTTTAATACTTAGCCAGTTTCTATAGTAGGACTTTAGAAAGCAATAAAGAAACCCCTTCCATGGAAATAGTTCAAATTCAACTAGTTTTTTGTTATTATTTCTGAATCCTCAACGTTTTATCACGTTGTGTTTTCCTTTATACTTTCTTATCTCTGTCGTTAACATATTGTTTCTCGATACTGCTTTAAATTGTGCTTGATTAACATTTCATCAACTTTAAACTAGCAAACAAAATAATAAGTAAATAAATAAGATACATTATTCATCTTGTCATTTTTGTTTACCTAGCATATCAACAAACCTCATTTATCTTGAAAGCAGAAAACATTTATTTTGATCATAAGTGTCTTCGAAGCATTGTTCGAGTATAGTGGAACAACTAAGTAAGCAATTTTGACGTTAGGTGTTCGAAACACATTCTCCGTAGGTCTAACCACCGCCTGCATCGACGCATAATGTTTAGTGATGTAATAGTAGATTGGAAGAAAGTTAAATGCGAGAACATTAAGACATGACATCAGTCCGTGTATCCACTGACTGTTGGGATGAGTCGTGTTTATAGGTTTAGACAGCTGACTGAGGTTCGTGTGACAATCTCGGTAAGTAGTTGAAAACTTTAAGCAGCATGGTTCAATACCGATCACAATCACGAAGGTGTATCCACTTTTTATTTTACTCCAGATTTCGGATTTCAGTATTCTTTAATATATTCCTTTTCGAACCATATTCTCAATGTTTAATCTTTCCCATTATCATTGGTATTACATTATTTTGACTGCTTTTGTATTCACCTTTTTAAATTCATATCGTTTTACTATTGTACTGTGGTAATTTGGGTTAACACACACCTTTACCAAGCTCTATGGTTATCATGACTGACTTAAATAAAATGATGGGCTATTGTGATTATAAAAACTAATGACTGTCACGAAGTATTATTCTTCTAATGTATTTTTTTCTCATCACTAGCTTAGAATGGCCAGTACGCACTTTGGGATTCTCTTACGATGGCAAGTTAATTGCTGCAGCTAGCGAAGATCATTTCATTGATATTGGCCATGTACAAACAGGTAGGAATTGTAGCTTTTATTCATAATACAATTTTAATTTTAATTGGTATTTTAGTAGAGCATGAGTATGAACGTTTGGATAACTATAAATATCTTTAAGGCTACTGATGCACTTAATTTATGGATGAAAACAGACGTAAAAGTTTAATAGTGGAGTCTTTTTTTGTCATAAGCTAAAATTCTCCGAAAAAAATTAAAATTTTCAATGTTTATCAAGATTGGAAAACGATCTAATTTGAGAAGTTATTGAAAACCAGAAAGCAATAGATAATTGTTCTGTCTTATAATGGGAAGTGCGCATTCATAACCTCATTGTGGATCGAACACAGTACATTCAGGTCTCTTAATTTTTAAATGACTGAGTCACCATCTTACTGTAATCAATCCAATATACTGTGCAACTATCTTTCATTGTCTTTGGTGATTAACTGCCTCACACTCGACACGGTTGCACTCTACTGGTCATTAATTCACACTACTGTTACTCCCAATGGAGCATAGGCCGCCGACCTACCTTCTCCAACCCACTTTGTCCTAGGCCTTCCTTTTTAGTTCTATCCAATTGTTCATTCTTCTCATGTCTGTCTCCGTTTCTCGACGTAATGTTTTCTTCGGTCAATTGTTGAAAAATGCCCGACAAAGGACTTGAAAAAACTCCGTTTGGAGCCCGTCCGGGTTACTGCCGGTCCCAAGCCGGGATAAAGTAGGAGGGTTGAGCATGAGGTTAGTTACCTCATCCAGTAGATAACTTAAAAAAAACGCTAACCATAAAAAATAATTCATTACTTCACACAACTTTCTGGCTCTATTAATATTATTATCTGCATTGTTGTGCTTATTCCACTTCACTATTAATCTAGAATGTAACAACTCAGACCGATACATATTTTGTCAGCCACACTGCTGTTTTTCATCTACTTATTTTCATATTCAAACTGAATTGATTTCCTCAAATAAAAAAAACTCATTTAATTGTCTTTGTACTGTATATAAACTACCTTGTTCAATGAAACTTGTTACGATAAGTCAGTAATTGATTGTAGACTTACCAATAACTTATAAGACAAGTGTTTAATTAATTAATTTATTTGTTCTCCCCTCTCTCAAAATAATCTAACAGGTGAACAAGTCTATCAAGTTGGGACACATGCATCGGCTACATTTGTACTTGCTTGGCATCCTCGACAGTATTTGTTGAGTTATTCAAGTGAAGCGAAATACGAACGAGATCAAGGTGTTATTCGATTATTTGGTTTAGTGAATGATGATTTATAAAGATTTTATGTATGAACATAAAGAGTAGTGAAAGCGTAATAATGAAAACAACATCAGAAAATAATCTCTTTTTTGTAAATTGTATAAAATTGTATATTCTTAATGCAAATATTTATAATGAAAACTGTTGTAGATTCATTAAAAACACATGTATAATGTTACTTGTCTTACAGTTTACTAATTCATTGGGGTTTGAATCCCATCCTTGTCACCAATTCAGTTGCATCTTAAGACGTCAACTAATATCATGTACTAAAGTTATCAGTCAGAAGTTCCTATTCTAATTTTGTCTATTCCTCAACTACTATTTCACCTTTAGCCTAATGTCCCAGACTTGACCGAATATACCAGCACTATTGATCTTCGGCCGACACAGCTAAGCTGTTATTGGTTCTGAATTTGTAAGCTCTTCCTTATACCCTGCTGTTACGTCCTTGATCTGTCTACCCACTTTTAGTGCTGAGGATACTTGTCTAATCTAGATTAAGGCCTTAACGCGATAAGCTTTTCGGCATAATCTTGAGGCTAGTATGCGTGAGTTCGAAGTGGGGTAGAGAGACGAAAACTATTCTATCACCTGATTGGCTGATAAGCACTCGAGTGAGAAAAGACAAGTTAACTGGAACACTACTCGATTTATTCTCATTTCCGATCTGGCTCCCGGTTTCAGATCAGTGTAAAAAGAGGACATGAATAAATAGATGACTAACCCGACCACAACGTTCAACAATTAGGAAAATACAATTATGTCCAAAACTGGAGATTAGCGTAGAAAATAGAGTACAAAATAATACGTTTAAATTATAATAGCTTTGGGACAAAAAGGGCTATGGCACTGAATCATACATCAAACGAAAGCTTATGATATGTAGAATAGACTAGGGAAAAAAATAAATGTTACTGTTTTACAAGCTTTGATTTAATTAAATAACGTCCCGAAAAATAACTTCCGTAGTTTGCCAAGGTTTCTTGTTTCTCTGTTCACATCACCTGCCTTATGTTGAAGAAGTCACAAACCTACTTCGATTACCATTACATTTCAAATAAATGTGGGCTTATATCCAAACATACTTTAACGCACCCCACCGTAAAGTACAAAATCACAATCGTACACAAATAAGCCAAAAGTGGCTGTGAAAAATCGGTTGACAATAAAGTAGAGATAACGATGGTTGAAGGGTTAAACGGAAGCTTAAGGAAGACGCAATATATAAATATCATAACTTCAGTTACTCAGTAAGTACACAAAATATAAACAATAATAATAATTTAAAAATCGTTTCATAATATTTGTCCAGTTATGTCAAAATCTTTATATAATCAGCTTCATTACGACCGGTGGAGATCTGTATTCACTGAGTAGTCGTTATTGGTAGATGTACCGAAATAACGCACTCGGGATTAGCTAACGTTAGAATACGCTCCTAGCTTCTCGAAGTATAAATAAATGAATGAAGTATTTCACAGTAAATGATGGTCAGTTTAGGCTACAAAATCACATTCAAGGTGATAAAATCAAACACAAAAATAAAAACTCAGCACAGACAAGTCCAAAAATAATCAACTTAATGTAGCTGTGTGAAGGAAAAATGGGTTGATCCAATGAAAGTACTGGTACTATGTGATCTAAACGAAAAGGTTTGCAATAAAAAAAACTGGCTACTCATAAGTAGCAACAGTTAAAATACATAAATCTCACAACCGCCGTGAACTTGTTTTGAGAATTACTTGAATCGATTGTGAACAAAATGAACGTTGTGGTGTGAATCTGTTTGGACGGATCGCTATTTCCTTAAGAATTGACTTTATAATTACGTTGATTTCAAAGTTCCAAGACTAGGATTCATTGCAACATTGAGTGGAACATATTTCATAGAGAATGTTGTATCGTGCACAATCTAATTTTCCTTCTCATTGTTTAAACTTAAATTATAAGTAAAGCTTTGAATAATCCAGTACTTGAAACTCAGGACCGAATTTCGATTAGTCTGTTGGTACATGTTTAATCAAACCTTACCAATAGTTATGTAGACGTCGTGCCCGTTGAACAAGTTAGCGGCCATTTGGATCCAGTAATTTAGTGGATATCTTGTTGCTGTTTAAAACGAAAAGTTGGTGAACTGAAATGTTCAGCTGATGAGTTCACTTATGGCCACAATCCATTCATTCTGTACAAAATAGCTTATATTAGATGTAATAGCTTGCATCTTTTGATTCATTTCAGCTACCTTCATTTGTCGATTCCTATCTGAAATTTATAATGACGAAATATTTTGTCCACTTCTAAATGTCTTACTTATGCATGCGTATTTTCTTGCTTGTTATAACTTCTAAGATATTAATTCTTCATCATACAGATAGATCGATGAAGACCTTTTCTTGAATTGTTTGGTGAATTGCACTGTTTTTGTCAGTAAATGTATGAAGCAGTCTAGGTCAATTGTATTAGAAAAGTAATATGTAAGAGAGTGTACTGCTGAATATCTTCGAGTCTACTCTGATACTTCACATAATAATCGACCTGAGAACGGTTTTTATTATAACTCTCAACGGTGTCCAATTTCCGGAAGTTGAAACAGAGTTGTCGGGAAAGTGTATTTCAAGTACAGATTAAATCAAACGACTAGCGAGGACACAATGAGAAGGACGGATTAATGAATTTTGTTTAACAGGCAAATATTTATGCGGATACGATTGAGTCATCAAACACTTTGAGTAAGTAGGAAAAATAAACGTGTAGATTATCACATGCAATCAATCATGCATACTCAGTTGTACAAGTATGAATATGTATATGACATACAGTTGGATAACTGTCCTCCTTGAGGATTGGCTGGATTATAATGGTGTTATAGCAAATATTGTAAACTATAAATACCTCTGTTTTTCTGTACATTTATGACTCTTACTCAATTATTGTCTCTTCTATTTCCTCCATCTTTCGATTTATGACTGTGAGGTTCGACATTTTCGAATGCCGATAGTTGTATACTGTATTCTTCCTTAATCAAGTAGGGGACGTAACTATTACAAACGGTTCCATCACCACTACTATAACTGAAAATAAACACTAATATAGTTCGTTCTTATAGATGAATAAAAGTGTACTACATCACGCATAAAGGAAGGCATGAATGAACATTCGGATTTATTGTACACCTGAATATAATGAGTTCAATATGATTTACATATCCGGTTAACATTTAAATTTAAATACACTGAACTGGCTTGTATAACTTAACACTGATTAGTCAGTAAGTTGTTGAATGTATACAGTATTAATGGATTGAATTAATCTAACTAATAAATATAAGAAGGGGTCTTTGTGGATATTATAGTAATTTCAATAGTTAAGATCATGAATCACTTGAAGCTAAACTACCACGGAAAACCTGGAAGCACTGGATGATTGTTTCGTCCTATCGTGGGATGCTCACTGATGAGGAGTCCCACAATAAAACGAAGTGGCCGTCAAGTGCTTCCAGGTTTTCCATGGTGGTCTAACTTCAATTGACTCATGATCTCAACTATTGTATTAAATATAACTGAATTATCTATTTTTTCCTTTTAAGAAATTTCAAACGCACATTAACTAAAAGACTAATATTTGAATGAAGAATATTCTTCTCAATGAATTCTCTTCAGATTCTACAATTATATAATCCAAATTATTAAATCCGAAAAATGATCAGGTTAAGAACAAAGTACATCGTTTAAAGTCAAAGCATGTGAATCCAAGATTGTCAAACAAAATAGGACAAAATAAAATTGTTAATATTGATATGAATCATATAGAATGTTAACTTGGATCTGTTTATATGTCAAGTGAAAATTTTGAGATCCATGATCCGAATAAATATTTGAAGATTAATAATAATAATACAAAGATTTGTGAATAAAGATAACAGAGACAATTACATTTGACTACGAAAGGTTGTAAGTACAATAGTCAGATTAGATCATTCAATAGCTAAGATTACTATTGATTAATTGACCTTGTAGTTGGTCAGGGTTGAAAATGTTTCTACTATGATTTTGAGATGGTGAAGATTTTTTTCTCAGGTGAATGATTTTGATGGAATTTTGTTCTTTGAGCTGGATGTTTTAGTCGTGGAGCTTTCATCGTTCTTCTATGTACAACATTTTATTAACTTGACGATACTAATATGTAGTTTTATAATCTATTCTATTAGAAAAATGTAATTCTTTTTATTTTTAACTATTAAACTGCAAATCGGTCATTTAGATAAACCAGTTTTCTTCAACCAACATGATGTGTATATCATTTTTCCATAACTTAACGTTTTCTTGAGAAATTATTTTGCTAATTATGTTTGACTACTATCAAAATATGAGTAGGCCGATAAGCGATACCCACATTTTATCTGGTACAGTTTATATTGAACTGCTTGTCGTCATTGCGATAACAAAGAAATTTTCATTAATATTCATACCATCAAGAATTGTTAGCTTTTCACTCAAACATTTTATTATCGAGATTTAAGAACTGTTAATTAATTTCGTTTTATTTTTAAATCAAATGTACCAGTCCACTCGATGTTATCGATACGCCCTAAAGATGAGTGTTAAGTAACACTGTACATAGGTTCACAGTTCTCTACTGACTATCTCCAACCACCTAATATCTAAGTACTAACTATAACTAGTGGATTGAATGATTCAAGTCAATTATTTCTAAGGATCAAGTATCATAATACTGGTAACTATCCAGTAACTGTATTGCCTTTAAAAAACTTTCCACCTTATAAATTAAGTTTAAATTTCTTGATATGCCAACTCTATTAACTTTTTTTAAACACACTTTATTTAGGCTGAGTAAACATTTCTGTAGAACACATATAAACATTTAAATAATAACATCCTATAATTTTGCCACTGTAAACTTACAAGATCTTATATATGATAGCATGTGACCATATGTTTCATTTAGGAATTGAACCACAATAGTTCCTTCTTATTGATATCTTCAACTTTTTAAC